GAAGTGACATTGAAGGGCCAAAGGGACTGGGGAGACCAGAATAACCCAAACCGCAAGAGATCCCCATCTCACCCTGGCAAGCGTGGAGTTGGCTTCAGCACAGGTGCTAGGGTCGGTGCCAGTTTCTCTGTGCTCACCCTCAGCTCCGGGGCTGAGTGGGGGATATCGCCTGCTCTCGTGCCAGCTGTGGGGCAGGGAGAGAGGACAGCTGGTGGTCAGCAGAGCTCAGGGGCAGGTGGCAGCACTGGCAGCCCAAGCCACATTGGCTCACTCTCTACTGGACGGGCAGAGGCTGGCAGAGCCCATCCTGGGACCACTGGCCTTGCTCTGGAGGGAGTGAAGAAGGAGGACACTCTTTCAGGGGGCCCCCTGCCCTCTCCTGGGACAGCCAAGAGGAATGGTTAGAGGACATGATGTGGGGATTTCTCAGTCCTTTTTCCCAGGCACCAGTGTGCAGAGCATCAGGGAGAAGGTGTCTGGTTTCCCCCTGCTCGGCTTCCCACTCCCCCTCCTCCATTCTTCCCATCAAAGGGGCTGGTTGGAGCAGCACGGCTCCCAGCTGGTACTCACCGCTCTGTCCCCTCCACTGGGCCCACGCACACGTACACCTCGCACTGTGGGGCTAAAATATGGAGGGCGTCCCAGGGCTCTCCTGGATCTGGGTTGCTGCAGGCGTCACGCCCTGTGACCTCCACGGCATGCTCCTGTGAGGAAGAAGGGGATGCAGTGGTGCTGTCAGCGTGTCAAGGATGAGGATGAAGGCTGCCCTTCGGAAACGCCTGCTTCTTCTACCTCCTCTGAGAGCAGCCTGGCCTCCAGGGCTCTTGATATCTCATCCAGCCCACCGTTGAGATTTTTCTCCTATTCCAAGAGGCCAGAGAGGCCCAGCAAGCTCCTATTTGATGCTGAATGCTGCAGACATCCCAGAGACTGCATGTGTGGATGAGGGCTCAGGGAAACTGTCCCCCCATGTTGACGCTGATGCTGCTGGCAGCTGCTCTCCCTTGCCACCAGGGTAGCTCAGGAAGAGTCAATGGAACCAAGAGGAAGGAAAATTTTTGCAGAAAAGGCTGTGGTCCCAGCCTCTGCCTCTGTCAGGGCTTGCAGGCATCTCAGCATCCTCCCTGGCCCCGTTATTTGCAGGGCTTATGAGCAGCAGTGGGGGAGGCTCCAGGGAGTCAGCTGTCTGCACTGCCTTCCCTCCAGCAGTCTCGCCTGCACTGGGATTCACTTAGAGGTGACAGCTCTGAGCAGATAGCGGGTGGAGGGCTGAGGTAACCTTAGAGGGCCCAGGGCCAGGACAAGAGAGGGAGAGGGTGAGAAAGAGAGAGGGAGGCTCATTACTATTTCATCATCCCTGGCCAGTCGCTCCTGGAGGACGGCAAACAACACGAAACCCTTTGTGAACATGAAACCAGCTGTTGCCCAGTCGGAGACAGCCAAGTAGCTTGTGTGTCCAGCCCCATCTCAAAGGACCATGTTGGATCAAGGTATCTAGAGTCCAAGATCCCATGAGATTCAACCCTCTCATGCCTTCCCTGCTTGGAACAGCTCACTGCAGTTGCCCCAGGGCCAGGACTCAGCCCTGGCCCTAAGCCAACAGCAGAGGCCACAGGGAAATCGACCAGGACCATATTTAAGGTGAGGAAAACTGCAAATGCCAGCAGGCATCAAGCAGAGATTAATCCAGGGTGCATCCTTGCTCTGCCAGTCCCCACTTCCCTCCTTATAGCTTTGCACATGTGACACCCCTGCTTTCCTTTCCAGGATCTTTCCCTTGCACCCAGTGTCCAGCCCTTCCCCGCTAAGGTGGTTCCCAGCTTTAGTCTAGGCACAGTTAAGGGGATTCCTGTGCCTAGAAAGACTCTCTCCCCATGCAGCTTTCCCTCCAGGACATTTAGAAATTCTGGCTGAGCCTTTTTCTTAGGGATTTCCATCTCTACAAAGATAGGTGGAGTCCCAATAGAGAACAAAGGGGCCCTTAATGAAGTATGCATAGTCTCCAGGTGGGATGGAGTAGCTCACCTCAGTAGCATGCTGGTGAGCCCCTGCAGTTCGGAAACAGTGCTGACACAGGCTCTTTGCAAATATGTTGGCTTCAAAGTTCATGCAGGGCACGTCATCCACTGAATCAGACATGGTTCCATAACAAATGAAGATTTTTGGCTGCTGGGCTCCTGGCAGGGGGCAGCCAGGAGGAAAAGGAGGAAGGAACAGCAGCAGAAGACCAGAGCTTGGGGTCCCCCAGCCTCAGGCTCCTGTGGAAGCAGGGATGTTATTCCCAGGTTGAAGTTTCCTGCTCTCAGCTCTCAATACTGGAATCGAAGGGAACCCAGGTACAAGGTGATCAGTATGATCCATATAATTACAGCTAATAAAAGGGTGTGCTCTAGCAGGGACCACTTTTAGAAGGGGGTATTGCACCCTGAAATGACTGGTGACATTCCCCAATTTGGGAGTCCTTGTGAACAGAGAGAATGATGCGCATGACCTGCTATTGTGTTTGATGGAAGTTTTCTTTCTTGAAGCTCTGTTAAAAGTCACAAAAAGAAAACCTTTCTTCTTAACTATGTTGCCCATTAAGAGATGACTATAAGCGGCTTAAGAAATTTGGAAACCCACTGAGACTATTTCTAAACTTGTGCTTGTCAGGTAAAGCCCAGATTAGACAAACCTCCTTGGGAAGTGCTGTGGGTAGGCATGACCTCCTGTTGGAGCTGTGCTGGGAACACAGTGGTATTTAGCTCTCTCAGTGCCAAAATTTTCCCACTAAAATTTCTGAGACCTTTAAGATAGCTGATTGGAAAACTGTGAAGGGCAACAAGCATTGCTAACACAACAGCTGGGCTCCACACTTCTGTCCTGTTTTTTTGTAAGCATCCTGCCCACTATCACCTTCTCTGTTCTGCAGGGTTTGAGAGTGAGTCCTTGGATTTGAGGATGTGATCTATGCTGGGAGGGCTCTGCCTAATTTGTTCGGAGGAGGCACCAACAGGACAGGAAGTCAGTCCAGCATCCCTGCGGGTGAACATGCCACTGCTGCCCTAAACATGGGCACTCGGGTCAGAGCAGCTGACCAAAGGCTGCTCCCCAAACTAACTGGGGCCAACCGTCAACACCAAAATCAAGTTATAATTTTTGTTTCTCAGAGCACTCATTTGCAATACAAGTTGCACTAGTGCTGGTCTTGCAGCCTCCCTCCTCTCACTGAGGGATGTTTTCTGACTTGTTCACACAAAATGCTAGACAGGTGCCTAAGCAACCCCTGCCAGGGATGCAACACGAAACACCCCAACATCGCTGCCCTCCCCTGCCCATGGACTACCACCCGTGGCTGGAGCCCCTGATACCCCGCTGCCTGATGGGCAAATCATTGCTCCCCACATCCCTCGGGGCCTACTGCCAGGATAATGCTCTGATCCCCAGGGCTCCTGGCATGCATGCATGCATGCAGCCATGCTCAGTGCTCCCAGTGCCCCCAGTACCTCAGCTTCCCTATGGCTCCCAGCACCTCGCCGCCCGCCGCGCTCCCCCCTCAATGAAGCTCGCCGTGGGAACCGCGGGGCGCCAGGCCCCGCCCCCTCACCTCTCATTGGCTGCCGCCGAGCAGTGATTTGCATATCGCTCCCTGAGTGGCCGGCGGCGCGCGCGGCTGTGGCGCCCACGGGAGCGGGCGCGCACGTGTCGGTGGCGGCGGGCGCGCGATCGACCCGGCCCGGCCGGGATGGGGGGAGGCTGCGCCCGGCGGGGGCACCGGGCCGCGGATCAGCCCCCTGCCCTACCCCTCGGCTGCAACTCCCCAGGGACCGCCCCACCGCCTGCCGACGGTCTGCCCCAGTGCTCCCCCGGAGGCAGCACCTCAGGAGTTAGCCCGAACCCGAAACAGGTGCCAAAGCAGCGGACTCATCTGCGAGCACTGAGAGAGCCAAATGCCACCGTGTTCCCAGCACAGCTCCAACAGGTCATGCCTACCCGCAACACTTCCCAGAGAGGTTTGTCTAATCTGGGCTTTACCTGACAAGCACAAACCCTGCCTGACCCTTGCTATTTCTACTGGAACGTCCTTAACATCCTCCATTGCTCCTGCTACAATTCAAATTCCTTCTCTTCCAAATTCCTTCTCTTCCTGTAAGCAATACAAAAAATTCGATTTCACTTTTTGTTTGCTCATCGAAGGCAGTTCACAATCCACTCTTCAAACCTATCTTCCCCACGCAACCCCTTATTCAGCTCCCTTAGTCCCAAAAAGTTCTTGTCACTCTCCCAGTAACTCTTTTTCCTTGAGTTCATTTCTGGAAAACAGTGCACTACACAGCAATAAATACAGTGCACTATCACACATCTCATGCACACCCTGCAACCATTCTTCCTTTGCGCTGCGCTCCAATTTTTTCCCAACTGTCTGACCTTTTTGGCTCTCAGTCTGGTTTTGATCCTCTGTAATCCCAATTATATTTTTATGTGTGCACGTGTGCGGAATCACAGTCTAGCCAGTGAAAGCCATCATGCATGGAAACCCCAGTGTGGCAGCCCACGTCAAAGCCTTGCATCTCTGTGCGTGCCCGGGGCACACGCACAGCAACGCGCGGGTGCCCGAGGTGACCCAGCTGCAGAGCCACGCGTAAAAAGCCTGTGGAAAAGGAAGTTCACAGGAAGCTGCTGGTCTCGGCTTTTCCTTTATGGAGCAGCAGCTGCACTAACATGTTAATATTTGCAGGTACCTTATATTTGGAAGTGGCCTTCTCCTGAACAGCTTGAACTTGTTTGTGAGCAGCTGGGGTGGGGCGGGGGAACCAGAAATGCTCAAATCCATCTTGAAAACAATGGGAAGCAGCAAACAAGAATTTTAAGCCAGAGTCTGGTATGAACTGTGATGCATCTGGCAAACAATTCACTAACTTGCATGTGGGAATTCATATCCAGGATTCAATATATCCTGGGGTAGCCCAACTGCACACCCTGTGCTTAACAAAGACAGCGGGCTAGAGCTGAGTCAGTAATTTACATTACAAAATAAAGCTTTAATCGATCAAATGGAGAAATCAATAGTGCAGTGAACAATCCTGATGGTTAACGCAGCACAAGATTTAACAGTTATGTTCTCAGTTTTTCCATATGCTTTTTTTTTTTAATATCATTTGAAAACTCATCTTCCAGCAGGAACTGGAAGCTTTCAAGGAGGCTGTTGGAGATTTCAGCTGACACTAGCTGACACTTGAGAAAGATGTTATTAAGGCCAGAGAAACAGCAAACTAAAAGTGAGATTTTTCCAGCTCACCTGGCAGCAAAATGACAAAAACTGAATTGCTGCTGAGGTCACTCTTAACATCCCATCAGGATTACAATGAGGTCATCCAGCACTGTCTCAGCTATCATGCCAGGCTGGCTGTCTACAGGCTGGGGAAGGCAACCGACCCATATTCCAGAGTCCACACTCCAGCAGATTTCAGAGACAGATGGTGCATTTCCTTTACAGTGACCTTCCCAGGTCCAGAGCAAACTCCTTGGATGGGGAAGCACCTTCTGACCATGGTCACTCCACAAAGGCATTACGTCCTGGAGAGAAGGGAAAGCTGCCTTAAAATCCAGACCAACGGTGTTACACTCTGTCCTCTAGCTTTGAGCTGCAGTCCCCTTGGTGTAGTACACCTCTCCAGACAGAACTTCCCTCTCCTTCCCTCCTCCATCCCTCTCAAACCAAACAACACAGAACACCATAGAGCATGTAACTCTCCCAAACCAGAACAAGAAATATTTTATGCTCCACACATAGCACCTCTTGGACACTTTGGATGAGATCCAGTCCAGCATCAGACTTTTGGCCTTGCCTGAGTTTTGGTTTTGCATCTCTGAAACACCCAATGACCCCAAGTGAGACAGGTAGATAGATTACGGTAATGCATTAAAGCCCATACCCTTTCTGGAGTGGTCTATAAGGCAGTGTTTAAGAACTGTTTTGGAGGCAAGGAAACCACACACACTTTAATGATGTGACTGAGATTATGCAGCACTAGTGCCCAAGAACTCATCCCAGGATGGGACTTGGAATCCAAGCACACAAGGCACCCCTGGCACATGGGATAACAGTGTCCACTTCCCCAGCATTTACCTTCTTCAGAAGGGAAAGGGAGGTACAAAAGGACCCCATTCCTTACCATATGCACGTGAGCCACGCAGTTCCCTTCAGAACTCTCTCTTTAGCAGAAATTGTGTTGCTGCTGTCAGTGTTGAGGTTGTACTCTCCTCCTTAACACACTGAAGAATTTGTGTGTGCACACATAGTTTCTCCAAGAAACTATGGAGAGATACATGGAGGATGGTGCCATTTGCTTTAGTGGCTGGTGGCCATCAACACTGTTCTGATGTTCCTCCACAAAGCCTCAGGCACCGGTTTACTCTTTTCCCTCCCATTTCTGGCATCAGGAATCTATTTACTTGTCCGTTTCTGGGTTCCAAATTTTTTTGGTGTGGGTTTTGGACACAGAGGCCTTTTCTTTCTTTGTCATTTCCTTGCCAGTACACATATGGCATGGGAGGAGGCCTGGCTGACAGAGGCAGAACGGCCATTTCCTACAGATACTCCAGGACAGAGGCCAGCATGCTGCCTGGGCTCACTCTCCTCAGAGGATTCACTCAGAGTTTTGCCATCAGTATTCCTCAATCTCGGCCACGCAAACATTTTTTTCCCCCACCCGCCAAATGCAACCACAGTAAAAAACATACACTGAAGTCCTAAGAAGAAAGGCAATTAGCTGCTAACAACTGCAGCAGCCCTGAGGTAAAGGGCAAGGGCAGCCTCTGCCACTCCCACCCTGGAGAGGGCCACCCACATACAGCAAGGGCATTAGGGCATTTCATACTCCTCTGAGCTATCGCAGTTAAGATCGGCATATTCAGCAGACAATGGAATGAGCCGTTCCTGCTCTGGCTGGCTCTGCCTTACCACAGAAATAGCTCCTAGCTATTCCATTTTCCAAGCACCAGTGGATTTCAATATCCTTTAAGCACCAGGAATTACCTCCCTCTCTTTCCAGCTGGTACTGGCATTAGCACAGCTCCTGTTATGCTTCAGATAAGTCACGAATGGTTTTTTTCTTAGCAAAACGACTTCAGATTTATTCAAAAAGTTACCCAACTTTACCTGGCACAGGTACAAAACAAAAAGCACTCCTGCATTCAGGTGTGGCATGAGACAAGATGACACCATGTCTCCATGGAAAAAGGATTTACTGCACAGCAGAAATGCCAGGGCACTGATGCAGGAGCGGAAGCAAAGCTCTTCCAAGTCTCTCAAATTGCTGTGATGATGATGTGCCTGTTGCACTCTGCCCTAGATCCTTTTCTTTGACAAAGCCAAATATCAGCTCTGAAAGGGGAGGCCCAAGGACAGAAGGGTTACACCAAATAGCAAATGTGACCCTCAGCAGAAGTTTTCAAGAGACTCTGTGGCACTCAGACACTTAGCTGGAGATCAATGCAGAAATAAATCGGAAGAGTGTCTAGTCACCCTGGCCAGTGCTCCAGAGGCTAAAGAAAGGCTGAACTGGGCTCACTGCTGGTCAGAGCACCAAGTAAACAAGCTGCTTGCCCACAACAACAGGGCCCCAAAGAGCAGCAGGCTAGACGTGGAGCACTGTCCCAGCTGGTGGTTTGAACATTAGTTTCTCCGTTAGTCTTGGTCACGGCCCATTTTGCCCGTCAGTCTCCGTCGCTGAGTCTTGGTGGTTCGCCCCGTGCCGGACTTCTGGATTTTCTTCCGTGGACCTTGCCCACGTTGGGATCTCTTTCCTTTTGTCTTTTTCTGGCTGTGCATGTGCAGCGTGGCAGTAAGAGCAGAGATTCTGTGCAGGGCAGAAATAGAAAAATGTTTGGGGACTAAAGGCTGCAGAAACAAGGCGACACCACAACAATAGCAGAAGAGCCCTTGTGTGACTCTGCAGGAAAGGATGCCAGCCGTGGCATGCCCGAGAGGAACTCCAAGGTGTACAGGAAACCTGCAAGCCTCCATGTGCAGTAACAACCACAATTAATTTTGGGATCAGTGGGCTGGCCAGACACTACAGAGTTAAGTAATTTTCCACACCCTCAGAGTAGTAATAAAACCTGGATACTGAAAAATGTGGAGAACGTCAAAGCTTTCAGCTTTAAGATCTTTTGACCTTCAACCCTAGAGAGAAGTTCTGCATCCTGTAGTATGTGCCGAGACGAAGGACTAGGTAAAGAGGAGAGCACGAAGCCCACTCTCCTCCTCCAGCCGCTGTCACCGGAGCCCGCGGGATGGGCCCGGAGCGTCCGGGCAGCCTGTGCTCCGCCAGCGGCCCCTGCTGGCTCCTGCCCGCAGCGACCGGGCAGCACCGCATCCCCTCCTGCAGCCACGCCGCGAATCCGGAAAGCAAATCCAGTCCTCTGGATCAGCTTCCAGAGACTAACAGCAGCGAAAGCCTGAATGAATCTATACATACTTGTCAGACAGGAAGGGGTTTCTGGACTTCTTGGGCATTGCTCTTACAGGCTTGTTTGCCACCTCTTCCCCTTTCTCTTTCTCTTCTTCTGATCCATCACTTTTTCCCTTAAAAAGAAAACAGTTTTGTGATTCTGGCATTTCCATTGACTTTTCGGTTTCATCCTATTTTGTGAACCATCTAGTCACAGATGAAGACTTTTTAATTCTCCACATCCCTTGCTATCCAAGTCTCAAGGTTTCTTATCGCAGTCCCTTGGAAAGGGATGACCAGTGACCTATAGTAATCTACCCTAAGATCCTAAAACTTCAGCATGATCTTAATGGCCGTGCAAATGAAGTCTAAATTATGAACCAAAGGTCTCAGCTTTTTTCTTAAATTACTATCAAGACCTCTTTAAGTGGATTTTCAGATTAGAAGATGACCTTACAAATGTAAAAGGTTAACACAGACACTTCACCAAAGAGCTCAAATCCAGCCACAAGTCATGAAGATTAAAAGAGATCAAGTCAAGCAGTACCTGAGAGTCTCTATAAAACAAATATAAGATCTCAGTTACAATGTATTTTGAGAATAAAAGCAACCACAACCAGAACTAAATGGTTTCCTTATTTGTGGTCCAAGCACAGGACCATAGAGAGAGAAATCCCTCCTAACAGTAATTTTTCTGGACAGGACACGGGAAAGAGCTTGTGAACAGTCCACACAGCAAAGTCTGAAATCTTGCTGCTTGTTGTGTTGTATCAGCTTTTAAAGTACTACAGTGTTGCCATCCAGTCCTGTGCCACCTTTCACTTAATCAAGGTCAGGTGGAACAAGCAAAGGATTCCAGGGAGTTTGGAGTGAACTATTCACAGGACATTTCCTCCTCTTTAGAGGCCCAACATAAGCCGTGGAAAAATACGAAAGTTATGAGTTTCCCTTTTCATCCCTGTTCCCAGCCAGCTGCAAGTCTTTAGGCATATTCAGGGAGCACTAGCCAGCCCTAAGAATGTTTACAGCTGATACAATCAGAGAGGTAGCAAGAGGCTTTACCACAGGGGTGGTCAGTCCCAGCTGGCGTGCCCCTGAGAGGTCGAGGTCACTGATGGTGGTCACTGTTACGATGTGGTTTGGGTGGTCAATGTTCACAGACTCTGTCCGAGATGTCACCAAGTGCTCCAGTTCATCAGCCTCATCTGGGAAGACAAAGAAATCCTGCACTGCAAAGTGCCAAACTTGTCACGATTTACACTGCTGTTCCTGCTGCACTGTGCTGGGGAGGGGTGATACCCAGCCATCGCAGGCAGGGCTTGAACACCAGCACTATAGGCATGGACGGCAAGCTCATTCTCCTTGCTGTGGGGACCCGGGTGAACACCTTGGAGATGCCCTCCCGCCTCCTTCCCTTCTGTACAACCCTCCTGTCCCCCAGGGCCAGAGGGCTGTGGGGTCACCACTCAGATCGCTGCCCAGCTTCTCAGGGTGACATGGGAGGAGCGAGCAGCTGCTGTTTCGGGACAATGTGCAAGCATCCCTGCCCCAGCCCTTATCACCCCAGGACCACAGGCATCCCTCTTTCTTCCCACCCGAGGGCCCAGCACGTACCGAGCGCCTCCTCCCTCTCGCTCAGCATCTTCAGGTACTCCTGGTGCCGCTGAAAGATGAACAGGTCACTGCGGCGCCTCTGCCGCCCCTCCTGCCCCGCTTCCAGCCCACCACGGCGGGGAGAGGGGGGGGGGACACAAGACCGTTCTCTCACCTCCTCTTTCATCTTTCTCTGCTCCTCTTTTAGCTTCCGTTTGATCTCCTCCAGCGCCGCTTTCCTCCGCTCCACCTTCCGCTTGTGGAAGCCGGTCAGGTACTCCCTGCCGCCGGCAACACAGAGCCCCCCCTCGGCTTTTAGCGGCCGGGGGATGCCGTCCTTCCCCCCTCCTCGCCCTTGTCCCGCCCGGCCTCACCTCCGCCTCTCCTCATCGAAAGTCAGCACCAGCCGCCCCTCACGGCCGCCCGGGCCCTTCTTCTTCTTGCGGCCCATAGCGGTACCACGCTGCTGCCGCCGCCGCCGCCCGCCCCTTCCGCCGCCGCGGGGCCCGAGGGGCGGCCCCTGCCCCGCCCGACATTTTGTGCCGCCCGCCCCCTCCGGCTCGAGCAGGGCAGAGTAGCCAGGGTCATGGACGTCCCAAGCTCCTGTTCCCGGCCTTAGCATCCAGCGTAGAGTGGACAGGGGGTTGCGTCAAGCATGGGAACCTCCAGCTCCACTCCTCTTCACTTCCCTCTTAGCAAAAGATTTTATGGCACTTCCCGGTGCGGACGTGCCAGTGCAGCACCCGATCTCACACCCTGAGATTTGTTCTGCCGCTCCTGAGTGATTTAAATCTACATCTCTTTAATAAGGGTCACTCCTCTAAATAGTTTAAATTTGCAATTCTTCATTTGAACATGCTTCAATAAAGCTCTGAGCTACTGTCATTGCTTGGTGTTAGTGATGCCTGTGCTGCTCCTCTTAGCCAGGGAAGGCAATTGCAAGGGACGGCTCTGACACCGAGTATCCAAGATGCAGGACCTGGCTGGACTGCTGTGATTTTTGTAGTGGTGGTGAAAGGTACTGGCATGAATTCGTGGGGGCATCAAGACTGCCATGTTTTTGGCTGATGGCTAAGAGTGACTTTGGCTGAACTCTTGAACCTTTATTACCCCCCTGTTCTTGCCTTAAAAATGGGTGTAATGCCTCTGTGTTGGCCAGCTGACTTTGGTAGAAGTTCTTGAAGTGCTGTAGGGGCAGCCAAAGCCAACTCCCACCAGCCCACAGAGTGTGACAAGTCCTGACACAAGTCCTGTCACAGCCTGGCAGCCACTTGTCCAGAGCCAGCTCTCCTTTATCAGCTCGCTTGCTGCTTGTGCTCTTTTCCTGGCCCGTCCTTTCACCAGCAGAAATGCGGAAAAACCAGTTCTGTGGTTAATTGCTGCACTTCCCTCCACGCCCATGGGGCAGGTCTCCTCCTCCTCCTCACTCACAGTCTGGGTGCACTTCAGCCTCCAGCCTCTTTGCCCCTGCCTGTGCTCAGCCGGCTCAGGTGCACCGGCAGGCCTCCGTACCCTTTCCATTAACCTTAAGGCTTTTCTTGCCTTCCCCTTTTCCCTCCGTCTGCCAGAGCTTGTCTCTCTGGTGGCTCCTTTTCCCTTGGGCAACCCACTGCGTTGGCCTGCAGGTGCATAAGGCACAGGCAGCTGCCTTCCTGGCCCTGTCCTGCCCTGCCTGCGGGGATACCATTAGGAGAGGATGGCCGGAGGAAACGAGCGGAGCATGAGGGCCCTGAAGGAGGTGTGGAAAAGAGCAGAAAACTCTTTGTGCGCAGATTGCGGGAAGCCAGGTGAGTGGTCGAAGGATGCTGGAGGAAGAGTTGGAAGCAAGGAGCTGGGGCTGGTCTCTAGCAGCTATTTGATGCTGGCTATCTGGACTGCACAGGAGCCTGGGGTGAAGAGGAAGGGAAGACATTGCTCTGGATATTCGTTTCCTCTCCCTGGACGTGTGTTGGCAAGGGAGCAGGAAGGAGATGCTGCAACAGCACTGGTGGGAAGAAGGACAGGGATGTGGGAGTGCTAGATAAGCAGGGGCTGCATAGCTGCAGCACTGTGGGTTGTAGTCATGTTAGCTCTCAAATACAAATCAAGGTCATGCCCAGTCAGGACCTGACAGGAAAGCTCCCAGTGAAATCCTAACTTCTCCAGAAAGAAGGCATGATTCAGGAGGGCATTGTCTCCTCCATGACTCAGCTCTGAACTGACAACCTGCCACACTCGCCTAGGAGATTACATTTACTGAAGGGCTAGCCCTCTCAAAAGGGTACCCAGTTTGAGGTCCTACAAATGCTGCTAAAACCCCCCAAACGGAGCACTCAAGCCAAATTAGGACTGGACTAATTAGTACCATTTTATCTTATTAAATTCTTCCAGGAAAATTTTAGATTCAAGGTTGTTTTCCACTTCCTGAACAAGATACTGTTGAGGGTTTGCTATGATGCACTAAACAACTCCTAGAGTCTTTTCCCAGAGGTGGTTTTATTTTCATCTTGGGTGACCCTTTATGCAAAGGGAGCACTTTGAAGTTTTTCAAGGTATACATTAATAAAGATTCAGACAAAGTGGTTGAAACAGAGAGAATGAGGGACTAATAGCTGTGTTTTTTCCTGATTGGCGTCTGTATCTTGGGTGTTAATTAATCAGCTCAGATGAAACTATCATCACCCAGCTCTCTGTTTCTCAGGACTACATTCTCAGGTGGGGCATATCTGCCAGGAAAATTCATCACTTCTAGTCATACCCTTTTTTATACTGTCAGATCCTGACTGGGCATCCTCTACTTTGGGTGTCTTTATATGCCTCAGCTGTTCAGGAATTCATCGCAACATCCCTAGCATCAGCAAAGTCAAATCCCTGAAGATGGACCACTGGGATGATGCTCAGGTGCAGGTGAGATCTTTATCCCCATTGGTACATCAGGTGGGTTGGGTCTAGGCTATACACCAAGTGTCCTGGAAAAATTAGCCCTTTGGCCTCACAGGGTTGGAGATGTAATCTGATTTAACCTGTTCCTTTTCTACTCATGCTCCTGATACTCAATCAGGGATAGCTCCCCATAACTCACCGGGAGAGGGAGGATGCACTTGCCTTATGTGCCTCCCTGTGCCCTGTTACTTTATGGCAAAGGCAGAGCTCCTGCAATGTGTCTTGCTAAGGCTAAGGGTCTTTGTTGCTCCAGGTTACTTATTTTCCACTTGCCAACACCATCCAATCTCAATGTCTCCTTTTGATTTCAACAGTCCAAGGGGAAAATCTTGGGCAATTCCATTCTCTGAGAAGAGTTTCCAGATATAATATGATTTTTTGAGAAAAATGGCATTTATAGAAACTTGACTTCTCCCCGTTACAGTCCCCTCAACTCACTAATCTCCAGGGGACTGAAAATATTTTCTAGAGATCCAAAGAAAATAATCTGTATCTTGTTGCTCTTTGGAAGAGGACCGAAGAGGTTTGGAATGGCCTCCCAGATGGCGTTGCAGAGCTGCTGTTGAACTCTCCAGATGTGGGGCATGGCAGCAAACCCACTGAATGTGTGTGCATCCAGCCCCACGGAAGTGACATTTATGGCATGCTGTTGATTCAGGTGCAATCAGTGTAACGTCTGAGAGTAGATGAGACCTTTGAGACCCACCTCTCTGTAGCCAGACTGCTGGGATGTTGCAACGGAGAGGAAAGAGAATGCTCCATTAGAGCTAGATATGCATCTAGCCCTGTAGTGGGTTAGAAAAGAAAAAGGTCCACATGAGTCTGCATCAAAGGCAAGGCACTAACTCTCTGTCTAACCCTACAGTTTCTGGCCAAGCATGGGAATGCTGTGACTAAAGCCACATACGAAGCTCACATCCCTATTTACTATTACCAGCCAACCTACAATGACTGCCAGTAAGTTGCTGCATACAGAAGGGGGAAGGGCAATTCTCTGTCAGTTCTTCTAGTTTGTTTCTGAGTTACCTGTCACCTCTCTCCTTAGAGTGCTGAGAGAACAGTGGATACGGGCCAAATATGAACGCAAAGAATTCACCGAGCTGGGAAAACAGCTGCCATATTCTGATGGTAAGAGCAGAGCACAGCATCAAAACGTCCTGACTGTTGCCTTTGCTGGAAACTTCCCACCATCATGAAGTGTCAGTGTTGCAAATCCCACAAGTACTCCTGAGAACCAAACTGATACTTACTGGGCATTGTTTTGGGGGGATTAAATTGTGGGAAGCATAGGCTGGCACTGGCACAGGTTGCATCCAATCCTGGTATTACCAGCTGGAATTTTTCAAAGGCATTTGATGTTCTGATGGAGACAGACCTCTGCAGTAAGGAATTTCTGTCCTATTGCATGCCACCCTCTCTAACCATGGCTGTTGGCTTTGAAATGTCACTGCCAGTGCTGTGACAAAGGGTGCTGCAGCCCAAAGGCCTGCAAAGTCAAGTGGGAAGAGTTCTGGTCCCGCACCAGAGTCTGCATGGGCCAGGACTCTGGTGTTCACAGGAGACAGCTCTCATGCTATCAGAGGCAGCAGCGAGAGAAAGACTAAGAGGTGGGAAGAATCTGGGAATGTCTTTTGGTGAGCGTTTATCTGAGCTGCAAACCCAGGAACACCACCATCTTCAGTTGTAAGTCAGAGGTGACACCTCTCAAGTGTTTGTTCTCAGCAGTAGTCCATCATATGCTTTATCCCAGAGGGGTGGCTGGGACCCCTGGCTGTGTGCAGCTCTCTGATGCCTACAGTGCTCATGGGGGGTGCTATTAAAAGCGGCTTTTCTGCTCCTAGGGGTGAAGGAAGGCATCCTCTGGAAGCGAGGTCGAGACAATGGGCAGTTCCTACCCCGCAAGTTCCTCTTGTCTGAGAGAGAGGGATGTCTGAAGTATTTCACCAAGCAGGATGTGAGTATGGTGGTCAACTCCCACCTCAGGGAGTACTCCACCCAGAGCAGCAGGGTCACAGAGATGTTCTGATTTCCTACACATGTTTCTGAGGTTGCCTTGCTTAGCCCAGCCCGGGGATGATAACAGAAATGTCACAGAGGAGAGGGGTCCCCTTTCCACTGTCAGGGGGACATTTCCTCATGTTCTCCCTTTGTGCTTCCCTCACCGCTGAGAAAAGGACTGATCTTTCACTTCATCTCTATCTGTTTCCCTGGATGTGTAATCCTGCACCATCCCTGGAACCAACCCCATTGTGAGATAAGTTGGCAAAAGCCTGTTCTCTGGTTGGTTTTGAGAAGGGCTACTTTTCTGCTCGTTCATCTCCCTGAAATGAGTGGGGCAAGTACTAATATGCTGTCACAAAGGAGGGGATGGCTCAGGGTAGGGAGGAGCAGGAGGTGTCCAGAGGGGACCTGGACAAACTTAAGAAGTGGGCCAATATGGTTTAACAAGGCCAAGTCCTGCATCTGAGTTGGGCAATCCCTGGTATCAATACCAGCTGGAGGATGAAGGGATTGAGAACAACGCTGTGGAGAGGGATGAGGGGGATAATGGATGAAAATGTGGTCATGAGCTGTCAACGTGCATTTGCAGCCCAGAAGCCAACCGTAAACTGGGCTGTGCCAAAAGAAGTGTGACAGGCAGGTTGAGGGAGGTGATTCTTCCCCTCTACTCCACCTTTGTGAGACCCCACCTGGAGCCCTGCATCCAGCTCTGGGGCCCTCAGCACAGGAAGGTCATGGACCTGTTGGAGCAGGTCCAGAAGAGGACCACAAAAATGATCAGAGGGCTGGGACACTTCTTCTGTGGAGACAGGCTGATAATGTTGGGATTCAGCCTACAGAAGAGAAGGTTCTGGGGAGAGAGGTTCATGTGGCCTTTCAAGTATTAAAGGGGATTTATGAGAAAGATGGGGACAGACTTTTTAGCAGGCCTGTTGTGATAGGACAAGGGAGATAATGGTTTTTAACTAAAAGAGGATAGATTTAAATTAGATATAAGGAAGAATTCTTTTACAATGAAGGTGGTGAAACACTGAAACAGATTGCTCAGAGAGGTGGTGGACACTCTATCTGAAAAAGTTCAAAGTCAGGCTGGACTGGGGCTCTGAGCAACCTGATTTAGTTGAAGAGTTCCCCGCTCATTGCAGAGAGGGTTGGACTAGGTGGCCTTTAAAGGTCTCTTCCAACCCAAATGCTTTTAGGATTCTATGATTCAAAGAGTGGGCTCTTTCCTTTTGAGATCAGTTAGCCTTTAGACTGGCTCAGCTGTAAAGTCAAAAACACTCTCAGTGTTTCACTGGCACTTCCAGAGTAGGCACAGCTCAAATCTAAATTGGGTGGGTTCGGCCACTGTTTGGTCTTGAGCACACCACATAGTGAAGGGTGTGTGTGATACATTTTGTTGGGAAGGGTCAGTTATTACTTTTTAAGATCCTCTGACCCTGTCTTGCCACACTTAGTCAATAGCTCAGGTCTCTTTTTTCTAGATTGCTCATGCGTGATCAATGCCATTCTGTTTTCAGGCCAAAGAACCCAAACTTAATGTTAAAATAGATGTCATCAATGCTACGTTCCAGCCAGAGAAGATTGGGAACCCCAATGGCCTGCAGATCACCTATCTCAAAGACAACAAGACCCGTAATATATTTGTCTACCATGAAAGTGGAAAGGTATCTGGTTTTAGCATCAAACACTGCAAAGCCAATGAGGTGCTTTGAGAAGCTGCTGATATTAAATAGTGTGAAACATGGGTAGGATGGGGTGTGTGAGTGTGAGTTGCTGTAGGTAACAGGGCGGGTTTCTGGCTCTGTGTTTGTGTATCTGTGGGAGAGTTTTGCTGCAGGGAGCAGGGCAAGAGCACTGGCTGAGTTGGTTTGTGTGGGAGGAGCTGCTGTAGACCATGTGGAGATGTGCTGCCTGTGCATGTGGGGAACGGGTCAGCCGTGCTACAGGCCTGTCAGTCTCACTCCAGTGCCTGGGAAAGTTGTGGAGGTATTGAGAAACACCTGAAAGACAATACAGTCATTGGTCACAGCCAGCATAGTTTCATGAGAGGAAAGTCCTACTTATCAGACCTGATTTCCTTCTGTAACAAGATAACCCACCTAGTTGATCAAGGGAAGCCATTTGATATAATTTTTTTTTTATTTCAGTAAAGCTTTTGATACTGTCTCTCACTGTATCCTTCTGGACAAAGTGTCCAGCACACAGCTGGATAAACACATTGTGTGGTGGGTGAGCAATTGGCTCACGGGTCAAGCATAGAGGGTGATAGTAAATGGGATAACATCAGACTGTTGACCTGTCACAAATGGGGTTCCACAGGGCTCCATCTTAGGCCTTGTGCTCTTCAACATCTTCATAAATGACTTGGATGTAGGATTGGAAGGGATACTAAGGAAGTTTGCCGATGACACAAAACTGGGAGGAGCTGTTGACCCCCTCAAAGGCAGGGAGGCCCTGCAGAGAGACCTTGACAAATGAGAGGGCTGGGCAATCACCAACCATATGAAGTTCAACAAGGAGAAGCGCTGAATTCTGCACCTGGAATGGGGCAACCCTGGATGTTCATACAGACTGGGGAATGAGATGCTGGAAAGCAGTGCCATGGAAAGGGACCTGGGGGTCCTGTTTGATGGCAGGTTGAATATGAGTCAGAAGTGCCCTAGCAGCCAGGACGACCAACCGTGTCCTGGGGGGCATCAGGCAAAGCATCGCCAGCTGGTTGAGGGAGGGGATTGTCCTGCTCTGCTCTGCACTAGGGCGGCCTCATCTTGAATATTGTGGCAGTTTTGGGCACCACAATATAAGAAAGATATTAAGCTGTTAGAGAGTGTCCAAAGGAGGGCAACGAAGATGGTGAAGGGCCTTGAGGGGAAGCCGTGTGAGGAGCAGCTGAGGGCACTTGGTCTGTTCAGCCCAGAGAAGAGGAGACTGAGGGGAGACCTCATTGCAGTCTACAACTTCCTCATGAGGGGGAGAAGGGGGGTAGACACTGATCTCTTCTCTGTGGTGACCAGTGACAGAACCTGAGGGACTGGCCTGAAGTTGTGCCAGGGGAGATTTAGGTTGGATATTAAAAAGAGGTTCTTCACCCAGAGGGTGTTTGGGTGCTGGAACAGGCTCCCCAGGGAAGTGGTCACAGCACCAAGGCTGAGAGAGTTCAAGAAGTGTTTGGATTATACTCTTGGTCACATGGTGTGACTCTTGAGGATGGTCCTGTGCAGGGCTAAGAGTTTGTAGTTAGCATAGGGCTAGGTGAATTTAGATGGCTCACTGTTGCTCTGGCTAAGCTTTCTATTCTGTCCTTTTCCATTTTCAGGAGGTAGTGGACTGGTTCAATGCCATTCGCTCTGTGCAGTTCCATTATCTGAAGGTAGCATTTCCCATTGCCAGTGATAATGAGGTAAGACAGCACTAGAACGCAGTGCTAAGTCTCCCACTGCTTATGTGATAAAGGAGTTCATTAGTTACTATTATAACCCCAGGTACAGAAGTGGAAATTGCAATGTCTAGATAGAGGGATGAGAATGTATGTTTAAAAGGGCCTGTGGCAGTCAGAAAACAACTGCTTTCTGCTGTTTCTGGGCATTTTGGAAGCAGAAGTGACTCCTGGCTAGGCAGTTCAGGAAATATGAATTTAGAAGATGGCTGAATTTGAGGGAAGGTGACTGAATTGGAAGGGCAGAGGGGAAACGAATAGCAAAGAAGCACAGCTAGGTGAATGTTACTCTTGCCTTTTTGTCAGATTAAAAATCGTCTGACGAGAAATTTCTTGAAGGAGGGATACATGGAGAAGACTGGTCCCAAGGTGAGCTGCTATGTTAGAAAAAATCTTAACAGGGACCTGCCAGAGAGCCACTGGCTTTCCCAACCTCAATGTTTTTCTCCTGCTCTTTCCCCATTCCCCCCTGACTCTTTAGACACCCGTGGGAACAGTGTGTGTGCACCAAGGGAGGGGAGAATTAAAGGAAGGGGAAGGACACATGTGAAAGTAGATGAAGCCAGAGTCCCTGCTTTCTCCCAGAGCGACAGATCTCTCTGCATGTGTCTGTGTGTGCGTGACCTTACAGGTATTTAGCGTCTAGATCTCTCCTGTCTCAACTTTGGAGTCCTTCACCACAGTCCAAGAGTTGGGGACAGCAGCTGGGACTGAAAAATCCGATACAGACCCCCACTCTCAGCTGAGAAAGGGCGAGGAGGAGGTTGCAGTTAAGGCAGGGGCTTGCTCTAAGTGGTTGGGATGAATTTTGGGTATCCATTCGTACTGCTCACAGCAGAGGGCACTGTACCCTTACATATGTCTCTTCCCTTCACAGCAGAGAGAGGCCTTTAAGAAGCGCTGGTTCACACTGGATCACCGCAGACTCATGTACTTCAAGGATCCTTTGGTGAGGGGGAGATCTGACTGCTGGGCAGCTGCAGGCAACGGTGCTGAGGGCAGGGTCAAAGTGCAACCAGAATCTTTGCTCTTCAGTTAGGGTGGCTTGCAGGTTCCCCAGCTGCTCTGGATGAGCTCTAAGTCTTCCCCTTTCCATCCCACTCAGGTCACATGCTTTCTGTGTTTGTTTCGCTGCCTGCAAACAATGGTAACAGGGAGGGCAGCAGTGTAAAGGTGGTGATGGAAGGGTGACATGGAGGGACAGGAGCATCAGTTTCTCTCTCAGACCTCTCAAGACCTATGCCCTTAGATATTTCTTTTCACTACAGTCTTTGAGCATAGACTCCCTGCTTTTCTGAATTCCCTGACCACCTCCAAAACTTTTTGTTGTTACATCCCTGGTCCTCACACACTCTCTCCTGTTCTTAGGTGCATTGTAATTATTCCTTGATTCTTCTGGATTTCCATAAATCACTGTCTTTCCCTCCTGATGTGCAGGATGCATTTGCTAAGGGTGAGGTATTTGTGGGCAGCAAAGAGAATGGATATAGTGTCCAGAAGGGATTGCCTTCAGGGACACAGGGCAACTTCTCTTGGCACTATGGCATCACCATTGTCACCCCTGACCGGGAATACCTCTTCACCTGCGAGACAGAGACTGACCAGCTGGAGTGGATCAAAGCCTTCACTAGCGTCATCAACCAGGCCATGACACCACAGGAATATGCAAGTAAGTACCTGGATGCTGTTTCCTTCCCCTCCTGCCACTCCAGTTCAGGGTATTGCCCTAGTTCACCACCTTTTTTCCTTTACTACAGTTGAAGCCTACTTCAAGTTTAAATCCTAGGAAACCATTCAGGAACTTATGACTCCACTCTACCTGGTCCTGTGGCTGTCAAGAGAGGAAAGCAGATTGACATCAGAGAAACACTGTGCTCTGAAGCACCCTTGAAGCACTTTTGCCCCCACAGAATGTCCACTTGTTTTGAGGGCCCAATTAAGCTGCTTCCTTTCAAGTGCAAGACTTTGAGTCTGAATCTTCAGTACAACCTGTCCCTGTTAAATTGCTGTGATCTGACTGGATGCTGGCAGGTCTTGCCTATCAATCAGACCTTGAAAACTTTGGCACTTACTGTGTTGGACATGGGACCTATCATCACTCCTGCATGAAACTGCAGACAGCCACCTACCTTACTCAAGAAAACAGCTGCCTGGCTGGAGCCAGGCACCCCAGCAGGTTGCAGGGGCTGCTGGACTAAGAGAACCTGTTCCTTTAAAAGAAATGTAATCTCTGCTGGTGACAGAGATGTGAAACATCTGGATATTTGATCAGTTAGAGCTGTAGTTGAGAAAGGTCACTTAAAAAATGTAACCTACCAGCCAAATGTGAGGCCTGTTTCCTTCTGCTCTGTATGGGCTTGAAAGTTTCTTCAGACTGCATTTGTGTGCAGACCGTCCTCTGATTGCTACAGAGGAGATTAAGAGATCATCTAAAAATAATGTGTGAATATACATTTGAGTGTGTGGATAATGTATGTGTGTGTGTGCGCACGTAACAAAAAGTGATGGGAGGCAGAATACTGCCCTAGGGAAGATACTGTGAGGGATATTCATGCCACTGAAGTTCAGCTGTCCAGCTTGAGTCTCTAGTCAAACCAATGGAGAGAAGTTGGGTCCTGCGGAAAGCAACTTACAGCATTTATAGAGTTCAGAGTCTGACTCTACTAGAGCCTAGGGGTTGGTGTCTGAATATAGTAATGCATGGATTTCTGCTCCCTCGTTCTCTGTATGTCAAAGGCCTGGCACTTTCATCAGGACCTACACATTACATACATTTATCTTGTATATCACACATACATACTATTTTATGCAGTAGTATAACAGGGAAATTGTATTTTCACATTCTTCTAGTAACAGCCCAAAACACTACATCAACCCATGGGTCTTGTCTTAAAGCTCATCTCTTAAAGCTTCCCCTAAGAGAGCTGTGTTTCACATAATGGAAGGATCAGCTGAGTTCTGCTGGTGACTGTAGCGTCTGATGTGTCTAGTTTTTCACAAGCAGTGTGAGGGAAGGTATCTTGTGTATTAAGGGGAGCTAACTAGAATTAATGAGACTACCAGTATTTTAATTAGCTCTTAAAGAAATAAATGAAAAAAATCCCATTTTAATTTGGTTTAACTTCCAAAACTAGCTGACCTGCTAACTGCTAAGGTATGAGGTCATTTCTTGGAAAAAAAAAACACAATCAGTCAGAGCAAAGAGCCATAGCTATTCATTGTATTTCCTGGGGCATGTGGACTGTGATTATTCCCATCAGAGCCAAATGGGCAAAGTCATGGTCCCCTGCTGATTCTCTGGGGACCCCTCTCTGTGCTGAGACTACCACAATCTGCTGGGAGTATCAACTTCCTGGATGAGGAGCAGCATCACTCATGCTGCTGCCATGGCGCAATGGAAATATCCACCTAACAGTGTATGTTCACTGCAGTTTGCTGATCTCTCCCAGTTTGGAACATGACTTTCCTAAAAAACAAAGGCCATTGCACAGTGAGGGGAGTACCGATGGGATGCTTCCTTCTCCTGTTTGCTGCTGAGTTATTGCTGATGGAGATGAGCAGAGTCATTTGACTCAGCCACAACAAAGCTAATACACTAATGATCCGAAAGAGTGTGGCTAGAGTGGCCTGAAAACCCCTGTGAACTAACAGCAGAGCATATTTAGTATGATGCATCTGTCTCTGCTTTACAAATTCTGTCCCACCGTGTCTTCCTTGAGATGAGTAGGCTCAGATGTGGGCAAGGAAAGAGCAGGGTAACATTGGCATCAGTGTCACAGGATGATGTCCTGCTAGAAGGTGATTGTGCCTACCTAATGGGCTTCTGCCCCCTGCTGTGAGGGGATTGGAGGGAAGGAGAGGAAAGCTTAGAGAAGGAGGAGGAGAGGAGGAGGAAGTCTTTGTGGAGAGGGAGGAAAGACTAGGTTTAAAATATCAAGCCTTTTGAGTCTTTAGGAGCTTCCTGCTGGCTGGAGAGCAAGGGTGGAACAGGGCCCAGGACAGAAAATGTGAGATGTCCTACCATCTGATGGGCCTGCTTGCAAACTGGGGACTACATCGATTGTCTACAGCTTAAAGGGCCCTGATGTCCCTGAGAGGGAATGGGGGACAGACTCTCTCTGCCTGGCTTGGTTAAGGTCCAAGGAGAGCAGTGTGGCTGCTCCCTGCCTATTGCACTTCCAGGGCTGGCCCTTGTTTCCCTTCTAAAGCTACAACATCATGTGCTTTCTCCCTTTCCTTACCGTATTAGAGAGTCTTGTCTTTCAGTTGTCTCCTCTCTTAAATGAGGACAAGTGTGCAAGGGGAAATGGGACAAAGAAAGGGAAATAATAACAAGGAGGAAGAGGGAGCAGGAGAAAAGTGCAGGAAGATATAGGGGAAGAAATCATGTCTGTCAGAAAGAGGAGGGAGCCAGCAGGGCTCCTCAGCTAGTGGCTAAAAGCACAGTATAAACTGGGACTGCATTCGCACTGGTGTGTGAAGCTGTGAGTCAGACACATTCCTGCACGCAGTGGTCAAGGCAGCTCTCAGGAGTTGGTTCAGGGGGCAGAGCTCACCTCTCCAGAGTCTGTCTAAGCTGAGACGACACAGACTTGGGAGCAGAAATCCGCTTATTCACCAAGTCTGCTGGTTTCCCCGGGCCCAGCAACAAATGAGGAGCTGGTAAAGAGAAGAGACGTTTCCTTCTGGCTGGCAGAAGTTATCTTGTACCTATTGGTCTTGAAGGGGAGGGCAGTGTCCCCTTCTTGGCCCTTTGATGGTTAAGGGCAACAACCGGACACAGCTTGTGATGGACAAGATCACCAAAATGGACTGGGCAGCTGGAGGTGAGGAATAGACTTCTCTGGATAACCTGTCTATGTCTGATGAAGTCTCGCCATTCTTCCCTTGACTGCTTTGCTGTTAAGGCTAGACGTGTCCCATACAGTGAGTGGAGAAGGAACAGGTCTCTGAGAGTTTGATTTGTTCTTGCTCACCCTACTCAAAGATGTCTTACAACCCTTCCTTCATCAGCGCAAGGCCTGGAGAGGATCCCAAGGGTAGTAGTTTCTTGGAGGAAAGCAGCGGTGGGGGTGATGACAGTAGTGTCCTGGGAGGGGACAGCCTGGTCACGGGGCCACTGGGTGCAGTGCTGCTGGTCATGTGCCTCACTGGGATGGTGGGGAACATCTACACAGTGGCGGTGGCCTCTGGCAGGGTGGTGGGCTACTCAGCAGGCTCCTTGGGGGTCTATGTGATCAACCTTGCCTTGGCTGACCTCCTGTACCTGTCCACCATTCCCTTCGTGGTTTGCACCTATTTTGCCCATGACTGGTTCTTTGGGGATGTGGGCTGCAGGCTTTTGCTCAGCCTGGACCTCCTCACCATGCATGCCAGCATCTTCCTTCTGACCGCTATGAGCCTGGAGAGGTACTGGGCGGTGGCGAGGCCGCTGCAGGCCAGGCGGGTCAGCAATGCTTACCGCAAACTGGCAAGTGCCATCCTCTGGCTCCTCTCACTCCTGCTTACAGCCCCCATGATGGTAATGACCCAGCTGCGGGAGGGGGACAGGCCCCACAAGCGCATCTGCATCCCCACCTGGACACCAGCAGCTTTCCGGCTCTACCTGACAGTGCTGTTTACCACCAGCATCCTGGCACCCGGTGTGGTGCTGGGCATCGTCTACACCCGCCTGGGCTGGGCATACCGGGCCTCAGCCTGGGGCCTGGGGCTGCCAGTGGCCGGCCGGGCCCCCTCCCGGCGGCTCTTCTCCAGGATCTCTGCCATCGTGGTGGCCTACTGGGCCTGCTTCCTCCCCTTCTGGGCCTGGCAGCTGGCTGGGCTGTACCAGAAGGATGGGCTGGGCATCGGCCCCACTGCCCAGGCCTACCTCAACTTCGGTGTCACCTGCCTGGCATATGGCAACAGCTGTGTCAACCCCTTCCTCTACACCCTGCTTGCCAGCAGCTACCACCGGCGCCCTGGCCACAGTGGGATGGGCATGGCACAGCCTGCAGCACCCTCCCGGCAGGCTGCAGGAAGCCACAGCCTCCCCCTGACTTTCAAGGAGTTGTCAGGGTCTCTGAGGGAAAGCGAGGGGTGAGCAGTGACCCAGGTTGGGCACATCTCCTGGCCTTTGTCTGGGGTCAGGTCAAGAAATAAAAGTGCATCACCTTCTGTGGTAGGATGCAGTGTCTTCTATCGTTGTTGCAGTGCCTTCCCCTTTACATGGATGCTCATCCTGCTTATCTGTGGAGAGGGGGAGAATGCTTGTCTTGGGGTTCCTGACTCCATCCTCAAGTCCTTCATGCCAGCCTCCACCTTGCGCAAGGCTGGGGAGTGGGTGGAAGGGAGCAGTCAGCTTTGATACATCTAAATTATACAGCTGGGGAACCCTCGCCACCCCTCACCTCCTCACTAGCAACGGGCCAAGCCATAACAAAGTCAGGACAACAGTGAGTCATAGATTTCACAGGAGCAGTGAGTCACTTCAAGAAGCAGCCACGCTGGCAGGAGACCTGACTAAGGTTCGTACTCCTGTGGTAAAGCTACCACTCAGCTTTCTTCATCCACCCTTCACGAAAAAATCTTTGAAGAGTTTTTCTAAAGAAAGACTGCCAAGTGCAGTTAAGAGGCATTGTGAGATCTCCACGAAGTACAGCTCAGGGAGGTCAGCACATTTGCTTAGCTTTCAAGATCAGCCCAGCAGAGAAAGCTGCAAGGAGAGAGCTCCACTCTGTATCCATTGTCACAGCTCTCGGTGACCTCACCAGCACCATAGCCTTGCTGTGGTCTACTAAATGTACCCCAGTCTGCCAGACTGTGTCAAGACCACTGTGTAAACTCGGCCGGGTCTCTTGCCTTGAGGTCATCTAGCCTAGCATGGCTCAATTCCATACAACTAAACTCTTCTCTTCTCCACAAAGGATGGCCTCATCCGTATCACCCCATGGGAAGAGTCCCCAAGCTATACTGTCCCCCAGCTATGCCTATGCACAAGGTGGCAAATGTCACATGTACTGTTATAGATGAAGCCCTAAAGAGTGTGATGTGATCATCCAGAGCAGATTGGCTTTGGGCAACACAGGGCTTCAGTGAGATCCAGCTGCAGAGCCTTAAGTTGCTTGTACACCCCAAGTGTTCCTGCCTCTCAGCTCAGCTCTCATCTTCAGCTCTCATCTCTCTCTTCCTCCTCAGCCCCACAATTCCTAGCAACTTAGCCTCCCTCTGCTTGAGTACCTAGGACACAGCACCTGGCAGAACCTCCTAAATTATGAAGTAAGAACAGGAGGTGCTGCTGCTGCTGTTCTCCAGCTGCTCTGCAACTCTTTAATGGGATTTGCAGAGCCAGGCCTGCAGGGAATCCTGTAGGACATCAAATTGTTAGTGCTTTGTGTTGCTCATGGCCAAGCCTGAATGTGAGGACACAAAAATTGGGCCTTTTTATCCCAGACTTACCTGGTAACATCTGTGCACTGTGGAAACAGCAGATCCCACCTTTCCTATGCCCAGCAGGCACAGCATGCCCAACAGCAGTAATCATTGCTGCCAAGGTAGCATCAGACTGGGAGAGCCCCCAAGGCATCTATGCAGTAACATCAAACATGCCTCATCATCTCAGACTCCTCAGTCTAGCCTCCGTTTAGACTGAGAAGTGCTCAGGCTCATTTGGGCTAATGTGAGGGAAGGGGTAACAAAAGCATAGGGCACACATCCTTAGCATCCCACGCCCCAGCTGGGCATTGCTAACTCTCCCAGCTCTGGATGAACCAGGCAAAGCACTCAGGGCAGAATAAAACCAGACTCCTCCAGGGTACTGCCCTCAAGTGCCACAACACAACACTATTTGTGCTTCTGCAGCTATTGGAAGAAAGGATTTGGATGAGAAGCCCTCTACATACCCTGCCACACTCAGCAAGGCAGCTTTTTCTACTGCTGTCTCCACGCAGTAGCAAGAGGTCCCAAGATGACATAGGAGAGCTCTGTCATGAGTAGGACCAGCCTCTTCAGAGGGGTACAGCCAAAGCTAGTGCAACTGAAGACTTTCCTCTCACTCCATGCCTGGCCAGGTTTACCTAGCACAGCAACTGAATGCTGTCTGAAGCCAGCCAGGGATGCTTAATTTAGGGAGAGATAGATTTAATCAACCAGTTTTACTCGGGCAGGGTAAGGTGTCAGTCCAGACCTCAAGAGTGGGTGACTTCGTTTAAAAGACCCTTTCACTCTCCCTCCCAGTCACAACTAGCCCCAGCATTTCATCCTGAGGATCTCCTTGGACTTTTTAACTTCCACCTTCCATCTTCCATCCTCACCCTCTTCTCCATCCATGGCCAAGGATGACACAATTGCATCCACTTATAGTACCTAAAGTTGGCTACCTTCATCCACCCACTCCTCCAGCAAGATGCCCAACCCATGATGACTTGCAGGAACAAATTAGATTTTGAGACTGGCTAGACCAAAACTCCTGTTTATTAATTGTTTTTTCTGCATCTTTGACATGGAGGCACCAGAGGAAGTTATTCCCAGCTGAGGGATTGGAGCGTGAAGTCCCCTTGTGTATCAAAGTAGTCAAAGACAGCGAGACCAAGCCGGTTAGGGAATGTGAACTGGTGGCCTGGCAGGTGGACTGTCACATCGTTTTGGTTGACACCAAAAGTGATCTACAAGAGAAACAGAAAAGTCAAAAGTTTCTGCCAAGACACCCTCAAGCCTTTTCCCTGTACCACCCTCCACTCTGCAGGGTGAACATGCTCAGCAGCATAACCTGTTCTTCAACAGTAGGAGTGTTGTTCTGGTCTCCCAAGAGATGCCTATTCCCTGCTCCATTCAATAGTAATATCCTTTTTAGCCAGATGGAGCTTGCACATTTGATCCCCACCCTCCATCACGCTCAGAGCCCTAAGTGGTGGCACTGGCCAAGCAGGAGAAGCCAGCCACCTCCTGTACAGACAGCCCTGAGACAGCCCCTGTAGTTGTGTGTCCTGTGTCAAACACCCTCCTTTCACCAGAGCATGTACAGAGAGTATATATGTGCGTACATATATATATATATATATATATATATATATATATATGCCTGCCTCACCTCTGCTGTGCCCCCTTTCTGGAAAGGGAAGACAGTCTCCCTGTGCTCTGCACCCCACTCTTCCACCTTCTTGGAGTTGCACACAATGGTGTTCACATCACCATGAGCATCAAAACGGGGGTTGAAGTGAAGTCCGAGGTGAGTAGCATCCTTCCCCAGATTCATCACAAAGCTGCAGAGAAAAAAACCCAGACATCGACACTGCTTAAAAAAAAAAGGTAATGAGAAACATCCTACCATAGTATTGAACGTTCAGCACACAGAGCTCTGAGTGGAGAGTTATCCTGCACCCAAAGCAGTTCTCAAGGTGTCAGTTGCTTTCCACAGATTTCCTTTCAGCCCCAAACAGTTAGCTGGTGCCTGACAGCCACTGTCTTCTCCCCATCCTGCAGGCAGCTGAAATAATTACTACGTGGTCAGCTATCCCGAAGTATCCACAGCGGCAGTGAGAAGAAACTTCCTAGCCTAGCATCCACCTTGCCTCTAGGCCTCTTACCCAGATGAGAGGAGGCATATTATTTGGCAAGAGAAAGCCTGGGAGGCTTCACTCTGACAGTATCAAACTTCAAAGGCACTGGGAAATGCTGGGACCTGTTTTCTGGGACACCGCTAGTGCTGGTACAGTCGCTACTTCCTGCCAAGGGGCTCCATCAGCCACAGACCTGCACAAGGGCTTGGGACAGCTGCAGAGGCTTTGGTGGGGGCCCCAGGCACCCCAATTCCTGCACATTTAGGAGTATATTTCCACTTAAGCCAACCTGTCTGCTCGCCACCTTTCCTCCTTCCTTCCCTACCAGCACATGAGATGCAACTCCACCATTACGGTGCCCCTGCTCCTGGGCCATCTTCATGCAGGGCAAAGGATGTGGCTGAGTGGATGATCTCAACCCAAATCTCAGTATAGGCACAGCTTCTGTTTCCTTTGCCCTGCACTAGAGAGGATGTGGTCACTGCCAGTGCGTGCAGCTGGAGCTTCACATCTGCTTTGGCTTAGCCCCTTGGCAGTACTGTGTCTGCAATGTGCATTAGGTGATGACTCACTGGGAAGCACTGATGGTGTTAACCCCTTCTCCTTTCCTACCCAAGGGACAGACTCCTTTTGTCCCCCACCAGCAGAAGACAACTCAGTGTGGTGCCCTGGCCATCCCTGGGCAGCACAGCACAGCTTACCTCTTGGCATTTGGTGCAATTTTCCCTTTGACAGTGAGGCGCTGGCCAGGCTTGAGACCCAAGTTGGTGCACACTGGTCCCTGGGGAACATTGAGGCAGAGACATTAGCTGAGTACCTGCTGGCTCGCTTGTTCTGACTTGGCAGCTCTCCCTGCTGCCTTGCAAGAGGATGCATTGCTTTGGACTCATGGAGAGACAGGGAAACTCCCTTCCTCCTGGGGCACTGCACCAGGGACATCCCAGAGAAGTTATCTCAATCACATGGGACATGTGCCCAATTTCCCAACCTTTCTCCTGCTGCTCTCATCAGCATGTCTGTATTTCACAGACATGAAATGTAAGTACCTGCACTCTCCCATCACACCCACCCCATTCCAAACACACCTGTGTGCCTTGTGGGTCTCACATCATCCTGTACAAGTCTGGCTGCCATGGATGGCAGGGATGGAGCCTCCAGTCCCTTCCCCTAGCATGTTTTTGAACTTCAAGCCTTGCCCAGGTCAAAGGGCTCAGATACCTTGTTTCCCGGCTCTCAAGGGCTTGGAGATTTGGGAGTTTTTTCATAGCTCAGCATTTGCAAGAATATCTCTTGCTCCACATACACGTCTTTCCCCATCTTCTTTCTATGACTGAAATTTCCTGGCAAACCTATTTGTATTCATTTGCTATCGCAGCAAAGGCAAGACCCCAAGAAAACTGAAAATCTTTTCCCATTCCACTTTAATAAATAAGTTTGCACTTGGGACAATACCTGCTTAATCACCTTCAGCCTCAGGAAATATAAATTAATCAAAGAAGTGTAATCACTCTTTTTCTCCAGCAGTCACAGAATGTTTGGGGTTGGAAG